CATAAAGTTGGTGATTGTCCAGTCCAGACTTCCAGGCCCCCTCTCTGTAAGGCCTCCCTGCTTCTGAGGGAGTCAACAGCTCCTCCCAATTTTGTATTGTCTGCAAACTTGCTTAGTATTCCTCCCAGTCCTGCATTCAAGTCATTTATGAAGACACTGAAGAGAACAGCTATATGATCTTGCCTAAATGAATTTAGACTCTAATCTGTATTTGAAACAGCAAGCCTGTGTACCCATGAGTTCAGAATACTCTTTTCCTTTACAGGTTTACTCAGGTGTAACAGCTGCAGTATCTGTTTTATTTATAGGGTGGTGGAAGTGTTATACATTTGCAGACAGCTGTTTTTTAGTTTATGAAATCAGAAAAGCTTGGCTTGGGAGGACATTTGGAGAATTCTAGTCTGGCTTCTTCTAAAAGCAGAGTTACCTTTAGAACAAGATTACATTGCTTCAGGCATTCTTTAGAAAATCTCCAGAATATTCCACATTTTCTCTGTGCAATATCTCCCAGTGGTTGACCACCGCAGTGTGAACTTTCTTTATTATAACAGATCCCTGGTTGCAAATTCCGACCTCTTGCACATCCTCTCTGTAGCTTCCCTCAATTACTAAATAGTATAGATTCCCCACCTAGACATCTTTCCTCCAACCTAAACAAGACCCAGTCCTTTTGCTTCTTCTTATACGCCATGTATTCCAATCCTCTTATCACCTTACTGGGCCTCTACTGAATTTTCCCAAATTTTTCAATCTCTTATTTTCAGGTGACTCCACAACAGGACAAAAAATCCAGCATCTGGGCTCACTGTGTTAAGAATGGAAAATAATCACTCCTCTCTTCCTACTGGCCATCTGTGATAATGAAGCTGCAAGGCACTGCTGTCCCATGTTAACTTGCCTCCTTCTAAAAATCCTAGCTCCTCTTCTGCAGAGCTGTTTGCTGCCCAGCAGTTAAGTGCATTTTTCATTGATAAGTTTCTAGGAAGGTACTGGTTGAATATAAAGTTGTTGAAAACGATCAGTGCAAAACCAGAATCAAATTAAGTAGCAAGGATCTGGAAAGCCAGTACTTTTATAAACTAAGGAGGGGAAAAAATCAGTGACCACCTGGTATTCTTAGCAGAGCTTATAAGCATGTTGCATGAGCTATCCAATGCAAAATTGCAGAATTGGAGGGTGTTGTCCCAGATAGAAAACTACTTTGGGCCAAAAGACCTAGTGATGCCTCTTGATACTCTTCTTTCTACAAATATTACACAAAATGTAATTATTACATATCCAGATAATATCAGGAAAAAACCCTACATCAAGACATTACTTGACACTAAACATGGCTTTTCAGAAAATAATTTGACTTCCAAACTAAACTGTTTCTTACCATTTATATTCACAATACCTGCATTAGAAGTCCAATGATTTACAACAATACTTGAGTTATTTAGATGAAAGGAAGTGTCTGTATGACTGAATCATCAGCTAAGAATATTTTTAACATATAAAGATTATTTCTGTGTTTGTTGCTGGACTGTCTATGAAACCGTATCAAAGTCTTGGCAAACATGTTGCTGCACTCAATGGTAAGTAAAACAGAACAAAATAAAAGACTATTCACACTCAAGAGATCATTCAGGCTAAACTTCATTCAGGGGATAATCTAGGGATTCAAAACAGGCCAGGGAGATTATCAGAAATCATTGAGGAACAATTGGCCTCTGGAAAGGATGGCAATCAGCAAATATGAGTGGCTAATCAGTTGTTAGGTTTTGTTGGTATGAATGTAAAAAAGAAAAAAAAAAAGTTTAAAGATAATAGCTTAAGCCTGGGACCCTGATATTTCTCAGTACTGACATGGATGGGCCTCTGAGCAACCTGACGTAGCTGAAGATGTCCCTGCTTATTGCAGGGAGGTTGGACTAGATGACCTTTAAAAGGTTCCTTCCACCTCAAACTGTTACATGAGTCTAGGATTCTAACAAAGTATGAAAAAAGGATGGAGGTATCTGTCCAAAAAATGTGCCAACCGGTGCCACAGAAAGTGTCATCATGGGTAAGTCAAGCAGGAGTCAGGCTGTATATACTGCTAGCAATGGTGACAGCGATGCAGTTGTCAAAGATCGTAGATATGAGGGTGAGCACTTACAGGTCCCACAGGAGAACCAGTGAGAGGATGGTCAGAAGTGGTATGGTATCCAAAACAGATATACTGGGAAGAACTAGCTTTACCTAGCTTAGAGAAAGCAATATTTCGGTATTTCAGATACAGAGATGCTGAGGAAAGTAGAGACAATAATTTGAATTATACAGAAAAGAAAAAAAAAACCACAATAAAACTTCTCAATGCAAAAACAGAGAAAAAGTTATGTAGAAAAGTATACCCAAATCAGAGCCCAGAGAATTAACCTAATATCAGTCCACTTCTGAGCTGCATGTGAATCCACTCACACGCAGGAGCTGGCAGGTACAGCCAGGTTGAACTGGACCTTTCTCTCATGCTTAGTGACATGTGACTATAATCTTGGAGAATTTAAGCAAGTCAGCTTCCCTGTTTTTAATGAAGCAGCTTCTTGGAGATGGAAAGCCTATTATTTTACTATTTAACTCAAAAGCCAATAAGAATTACTCTGATCAGCATAATCATAATATGACTTTATAGGCTCTAAAATGCTGCTAGTGATCAACAGAGGCCTCAAGCTTGTACAAGGGTTAATAGGAAAGAAATCTGGGAAATTGTCCTGGTGCAAGCAAATTAAAAAAACAAAGCAAAACAAAACAAAACAAAACTATCATGGCATGATATAGGAGAAAAAATCTTTTACAATGGAGTCAATCAATGCTTTTATAAAGACAAACTAACATTTTCTTCGTATGTAATTTAACAGATTAGAAATTTGCCTGAAAAACAAATATTTTGAATGTGTACCAATTCTACCTGATGAATCCTAGCACTGGTCCTATGACTTTAGTATTCTAACAACATTAAGCCCTCTGGATCATGGAATTATAATCAAGAAAAAAAATTATGTCTGGTCTTCCTGTATATCTGGAAGACCCCAGTTAGGATGTAATTGTGATGTGAAATTACAACGGCAAAATAATTTAAATGCATGGTTGTGAGGGCCTAGTTAAGACAATATAAAAATGCTTTCACTAAGCATTCACTGATACAATGGCTATTTTGTGTCACTGGAATTAAGGCTATGCTCTCTGCAAGCAGTGCATCTACTCTGTTTATAAGCAATATGTATGTCAGTGTACTGATGAACTGCAGTTAATGATATCTTTCTATTAACAATGGATAAGTAATATATTTTTTGTGACATTATTGATAAAATGACCATTGCAATGCCTTCAACACACACTGGGAGAGAAAATGCTTATCTCTGTTCTTTTCTACTTTTATATGTTAATCTTTTAGTACAGAATTATTTGTTTGTTAACACCTCAACACAGAGGTTAGCGTTATATTATTACGAAAGTAAGATACACTACAAATTCTTTACTTCAGGTATGAAAATACATTGCTTGCACAGCTAAGCTTTCCATAGCTGTAATATTTTGTAAACAATCATCATTTATACACATACACATACACATACACACATATTTATAACTATGAGATATTTAACAGTTTTTGTATTGAATTTTAGTTAAACATTGACAGAGTCATTCCAGTGTATCTCAAGTCAGCATCATGAAGGGTCTAGTGACAGGGATAGTCTTCTTGACATGGGGCAGACTGCAACAGGTGGATGTGATTTCCCATGGTCCCTGCTACTGTGGGGACAGTACTCCCCACTCCTAATTCCAGACACCTCCATAATGCTTACAGCAGCTGATTAAGTGAAACACTATTTTAAAAAATACAATGTAATTCAAATTAATTGGGCACTGTTATATTGTTAGCATCCTGCAGAATAAAGACAACTTTGACCATGCCATTTATTGAGAGGGTGTTGAGAAAATGGTAAAACAAATAGCTTTATCAGTACTCAAAAAATGAAATTGATACCAATAATTTTTGTTCCAGCAACATAAAAGTTGCAAAAATTACAGAAATTGATGAGTTGTCCTTAACTGCCAAGGAATGAATAAAAAAAAATCATATTAAAAACATCATGCTCCTTCCACTCTTCCTTGTAAACCATTTCTACACCTGTTCTCCACTGCCCTGTCCCATGAGAGCCTTGTTTTACCTGGGCACAGTCATGCCCAGGAAGGGCAAGCACACACCTGCTTGCAGTAGTGCTGCTCTCAGCAAGCCACACAAGGCTGGCTCAGCCTGCCCCTTTGCCACCTCACAGGAGGGAATAGGGAAGAGGATGAGACACAGCCCATCCCCATCAACAGAATGAACACAAAAAGCATACCTCAGTCTCATCTTCGGTCATTTGTCCCCCTGACCCAATGTAAACATTAATCTTTTTGGATGGTTAGAGAACAGTCATTGATATAAAAGGACTAAAAAGAGGGAAAGGCTGTACTATACAGCATTTTCTAGGGAATTCCTGTGTTTACCAGATTGCATTCCACCTCACAAGGGGAAAGTTCCCATACAGTACGACAATATTGCTGGACAGTTGTATCATCTGCTCTTTATTACACTTGTATAAATCCAGCAGAACTCCAATACTCCACCTTGGGCTGGTTTTGAGGTTTGGGGATTTTTTGTTTCTTTTTTTTTAAAATTAGTTCCTCTGGATGCCTACTCTTGTAAATGAGAACAAATTTTGTCCTTCTCCTCTTACGTTTTACTGTCCAGTCTTCCTCTTCAGTGATTTATTTACTGACTGAATGAAATGAAAAAAAAAAATCTAAAAAAATTATTATCTTCATTGAATACATAATTAATGTTAATTAATGTTACTGCACTTTGTGAATTTCTTATTTATATTCAATATAAAGATGTTTTGATACAAGAATTGGTGTTGACAAATACATATTTAGGCTAACTGTAACCAACTCCTGTAATAGCAGAAAGACAGAGCAAAGACTTTACTTACCAAGCCACCCTGATCCAGAATTGGGTATACACATATCTGTTTCAGCACTGGGCAACACAAATCCAACTACAAAAACTTCAACCCCATCAGCCATCAGGGCCATTCCCAACACAAAGAAGAGGGCCCACTGGAAGCGACCATGGCCACATTCTTGTATTATTAATTCATATTGCTGTGCTAGCTCTTCTTCATCCGCTTTTCTCTCTGTTTCCAGTTCATGGCGATCCTTATATTCATCACGCATAGGTTGACCTAAGGCCACCATGTCCTCCTTTCCCTGCCCCATGCTGGGGATTCCCTGATACTCCCCTTCATAAATTTCATCATCTTCATCATGTCCTTCAGTTGCTTCACTTGATCCTTCATCATCATTAGCTTCTACACCATAATTTCCTCCTTGAACATAGTAATCATCATCATCTTCCTCATCCTGGAATCGATTGTAGGACCTCTGTGTGTAACCGTCCTGGGCTTTGTCAACAGCTTTATTCACTTTTTTCACTGCTTGCCTCTTCACCTCTTTGGCAATATCTTTCGCCCCTTTCACTAGTGAAGTCCTGTCTTTGTATGTGTCCTCCATCTTGTATCAAAGAGGAACTGCTGTTATGCTGCAGAGGCACCTGATGAATACTCTTCGGAGTATCTATTGTGTGTTGGACATCAGTAGAAAAAGCTCAAGTACATGTGAAGCTGTAATATTCAACCTGCAAAATATAAGAGAAAAAAGTTTACTCCTTTTTAGATGTTTCTTCACATTGATATAGTACCATTTGAATCTTCATTTAAACACTGGACATCAAAGTACAGGACTTTCAATATACAAAGCTGTGTTTTCTTCAGACATACAAATATCCCATGTTACAAGAAAAATATGCTGAAGATAAAGTTGTTCTCTTTACATTTTTTTTTTCAGAATTCAATTTATTACTCTCTAGTCTTGCATACCAGGTTTTATTCTGAAAGAAACCAATCAATTCCATACACCATACATCATGTTGACTCTATCTTTAGCAGCCTTCCCCATGTGAACTCCCTGTTTTGTAAGAAAGGGCTACAAAGACTAACTTTTCTTTCAATGACTGACTGTGAAATATTTTTCCTCTGTCCTGCTGCTTAATACAAATCCTGTAGGAAGCTAATATTCCTCACGTCTGCATCAGTGCCTCAAAGCTGACTGGATATGACCATTGCATTCACACGGAATTTTAACAATTTGAAGTCCCACCCTAAAAAATTTAGCGCAGGGAGCTGTATGGATGAAAATGGTGGTACTTTCACACTTCGAAGATTCCCAATACCTAAATTATGGACAGACACATTCCTTTTTTTCCATGTCCATAGAAACAGTAGAGATAGACTTGAACAACTGTCTACCACCAGGTAATTCACCCCAGAGGGGTAAGTCTGGCATAAGTTCTTGCTAGTCTGTCTACATGAAAGCACCAAGACATTTTGCCTCAGTTCTCCTCCCTGCTCCCCTGCTGTATCTTCCTATCTTGTGCAGCCTCAAGGTCACAAATGCAGACACAATGAGTCAAGAGCAGTTTGCTTATTAGACTGAAGGCTAACCATTCCCTTCTTCTCTGTGCAGTTTCCAGGCATATCTGCAAGGCAATTTGCTCATCACACATCTTCACTATCATTAGGGGCAGGAGAAAGAAATGGCAGCAGTGTGCAGGCAAAGGGAAGGAAGAGTTGCAGGATACTTCTTTGGCAACAGTCCACAGTTAGAAGAGCTAAAACCAATTACAAAACTGCATCATTACTCATGTGTTTAAAGCTAAGGGTCTCAGTGAGAATGTGTGTGTAAGTCTGGGCACTGCAACAGATTGCAGAAACCTCTCCTCTCAGAGAAAGCAGGCTAAAATTTATGTAGCAGTGCTCCTAAGAAAACACTGCCTCCTTCCATCTTGGAGAAAAGGTTATTTTTAACCATGATCATTTTAATGATCTACTTTCCAGCATTACCTCAGAAAAACTGCATTAATACAACTAAGAAGGCAGAGACACGATGCAGGAGTAAAAATTGCTGGAAATTCCTGAAGCAAATCCTATTTCCTTTTCTAAAGCACTGTGAACTGCACTCCAAGCTCCATAGGAGAAGAACAGGGTAATGCTTTAAGAAGTTGCCCTCTATTCATTCTATTGTAGACACTGTCTCATGAAGAATATTCCAGACATCAGTTTTAAGAGTGATACTGTTTTGAGGAATAGGAAGAATCACAGACTGCATTAGAAAAACTAAGGGCATGATGTACTTCCGATAGAAGAAAACAAAACTTAAAATCACACAGACATGACATTAGAAGCTACAAGGTATTTCCCAGCTTTTTAACAACAGAAATTCACCCATAGTGGAAAATGGTTTTATTTTTAGTCTCTTCCTCTAGATTAATTTCATACACTTTGAATTTTTCTCACAGAAATCAAATGGGATGGCAGTATTCAGCTATTAATGTGAACTGAAGCATTTACTGGAAGAGAAATGCAGCCTAAAAAAAAGACATGATATAATATTTATATCTGCAAACTGTAGTCTGACTTCAGGTACATCATGATCCTTCTAAGTAGGTCATCCTGGTGAAACTTCTATGCTAAGGCAGTTTCTCTAATTACAGCTTTTTACTTTTCAAGGTGCTCCTTAGAAGTTATTCTTTGTGTACTGAATTAGGTATCTTATCCTTACCTACATGCAGCTGCAGTATCTACTAGCTGTGAATAAACATGCATTGCATCACAACAATCATTAGGTCTGCTGAAGCCTTCTACAAACACTTTCAAGAACTTAATGAACTTCTTAAAGGCACTTTTCTGAGGGTTAATGATTACAGCGTGTTCCTAGATTTTGATAATTTTAGATTATTTTACAATGTCCACACAACCTATTCAACAAGAACTCTGAATTCCTCTAATTTTTCGATTGATACTCAGGGTTTTTTTGTTTCTTTGTTTTGTTTTCCCAGTGAGTTCAGTCTTCCTTTAAGGATTTTTAGTTGTCAGATTTCCTGTTACTTGAGGGTATATATATAGAGGGAAGACAGCAGGAATTTAGTAACACCAAATGAACAAAAAGTTTAAATGCCAGCACTGGTATAACCACACTTTGCTCTTCTGTAGAACGCCTACCTCATGAGTTCAGCAATTCAGTCTTAAAACACAAATTTGCAAAAGTAACTGAACTTACACTGTAACTTATGATAGACCAGATATGTCAACAAGCAACTACACCTATTCAAACTCATTAACAGCATAACTCTGCTAACAAAAAAACTGCACAGAGACCAAGGAAAATTTCTATCAGGGCAGAAATCAGAAACTTATCTTGCCCACGTTTCCAAGCAGAATACCTAATTTGAACACTGTTCTTTTAAATGGCTTTGCTTTCTGAACAAACTGAAATCCCCGCCTTAAGGTGATAACTACAAAGAGGAATAATTTACAGCCCATGCATGATAGTTCCCCATCCTTTTAATTATGTTGGACTGATAGACTACAAGTAAGTAACTGGAAAGACTGAAAGAGAGAGGATTAATGGCTACCTGAGTAGCATAAAGAAGCAAAAGCATAGATGATAGCCTAGATGTATACTCTTGTTTGTACCGTCTCATCATACATGTTTGCTGGCTTTCACTTAACTAAATACCACATTCCTATTCAATTCTTTTAATTTATTAAAAAAAATCCCAAGAATATAGTGATTCCATCTGAAATGGAAATACTACTTCAAGAAATACTGACAAAACAGGTTTTTTCAAACACTCATACACTCAAACATGCATATACCAAAAAAAATCCTAAAACCAAATTGTTCTTTTGCTCTAGTATTTATTCTTTTCAATTCTATTACATTTGCAAATTCCAGTACATGTAGCACTTTGTATATATTGTTCTATATCTGAAACAAAGTTTGGACATTACAAACCAAATCAGCGAGATCCCACAAAGATATAAATCTATGACATGTCAGAAAACTCATTCCCACCAAGACTGCTGTGAGAGGACTCACTGAGCACTACCAGAGACATTAAGTATATGCATATCTTCAGATAATGAAGTTTTCAGAATAGATCTGGAAGTCACACTCAAACACAGCTACAGCACTTCACATACTGTTGCGGATTTAGTATAGCATCTTTCCTGTTTTTCTTTTGAATCTGTGATTGCTTTTCAAAGAAAAAAATTAGTAAAATTCTTTTCTAATCAAAGTTGACGCACATTTTACACATTTATACAAAGTTTTAAACGCACATTTTTCTTGGCATTTTTATTCTAGTTTAATTTTTGGTTTTCTACTGTCATTTTCTATTATCAATGATCATGGATACAGGTGTTTTGTGTTTTCTGAGTTTATCAGTTGCTCCAAATTAGTCATCATGTGAAGGTATAATCCTTGGTTAGATCATAACTACTTCAGATTACACTGCCTTGATGTGTCAAATGATTTTATAACCCAGGTTAATATAGGCACCCCAACTATGCTAACTCATAAACAGAAAATGCTATTGTCTTGCAAGTGCTTTCATTAAAAAAAAAAAAATAAAAAGAGATTAAGAAAAATAGAAGCATACCATACATTACATACCATGATAAAGAAAAATTGTTCTCAAGTATTACTGTATTTCTCCAACAACGTTTACATGGTATGGTTCAAATAACATAAAGGACGTAATCCCACAAGTGACCATAGACCTGAGCCATATAAGCAGAGTTACATCCCATTCTTGAATTAATGGTATACTCACAGACCTCCTTCCCATCTCTTCATGCACAAAGCTGTTCCAGAAGAGGCTTTCTTTTATTTTTGCAAAGTTGTACTTGCTTCAATATGACTCAATAAAGAGTAGAATCCTCAACAAAGTGTATTTTTTTTATAGAGGTATTCACTTTTTTTAAAATACAGAAGATTTGTCACCAAAGCTGGTGTAAATGGGATTCATTTTGTGTAATGTTAGCAGAGTAAAAGATAGGTTTCTGTATATTAAGCAAATTTTCTTTCTCTCACATTGAAAGTCACACATCCAGGCTGCAGTGCTTTTAGCTCAGGCTGCAGTTGTCAGAGCTAGGTAAACTACTGCAAGACTGCAGTGCCACCAGCAGTGGCAGTCCCCAACTCTCTCCTGATCTGACAGCATTCTCATCACTTGTTCTGTACCAGCACTTGTCATTGTACCCTCACTGCAACCACAAAAAATGCACACAAGATGAGCATGGGAATTCATTATTATAGTACATACCAAAGATCCTGAGCTCAGAAGAGACTAGGGTTTCATGGTATACTGCAATCATACTCTTCCCAATTTATTACTTCCCTTCCTCATTAAACCAGCAGAGATAACTTTCTGCATTTCTGCTCTACCTGCCCTATTTCTCTTAAAATATCTGATTGACTTTAATCTAATTAGAATAAAACAGAAGGAATTGTTTTTAGCTTGTTTTTACTTGAAATTTGATAACCTTTATCAGAAAAAAGTTATATATTTGCCTGAAAGCAAAATGTACACAGACATCAGCCTTTAACAAAAAATACTAACTCTAACTGACTCTTAGAGCCCTTAAGTACCATCAACCTCAAATATCTCTAACTAATTCTTTTCCCACAGAGCTTTTGATTACAGGCCTAATTCTTCCTCACTTAGAGCTGGATATATAAGCATGAAACCAGGATATCCAAAGGCTCTGCTTAAAGCAGTACAAACCAAAAATC